ACACAAGCAGCCCTCCCCACCCACAGGGACAGGAAGTGGGAGGAGTCGTGAGCAGAGCCAAGCAGGACCCTTCACCACCCTCACAGCGGTCGCACAGCCAGCTGCACTGGCTCGGGCTGCCCTGTTGTCTCCTCCAGGTGATCTGTTCAGTTGCTGAGCGGACCTAGTCCTTTCCCAGCGCCAATCTGGTGCATCCATTGCCTCCCTGCCAGGAGTCCCTCACTAGAATGATCTAGGAGTTGTGTTGGAGTCCTCTGATAGCGACAGTTCCCTCTGGGTGAAAATCTGCAGGGCTGGGAACGGGCTTCAGCCCGCACAGTGTTTGCCTGGCGATCTTAGGGTGGACCCCAGCTCTGTACAAAACCACATAGACTGTCTTAGTTACTCCTCTATTGCTGACACCATGACCGGGTCAACTAACAAGGGAAGTGTTTGATTTGGGGCTTACAGTTTCAAAGGGTCAGAGTTCATGACCACCAGAGTGGGGAGCATGGCATCAGGCAGGGAGGCATGGTGCTGGAGCAGGAAGTGACAAGTCACAGCTTGAGACACAAACATAAGGCACAGGAGAAGGCAGGAGTGTGTGGGGGGGGTTGCAGGGGACTTGGCCAGACTCTATTGCACCCTCAAATCTTGCCCCCATGCCATAAGTTCTCCAACAATGCCACACCTCCTAATCCATCCTCAACAGTCCCACTAGCAAATAAGCAGATATTCAGAGATACGGGGGCCATACTTATTCAAACCAGCACAGCATTCCACTGCTTTGTGGCTGGCAGCAGGAGGATCAGGAGCTGAAAGGCCATCCTCGGCAAATGGTGATTTGATGTCAGGACAACCTGGGAATCACACACCTGAGAGAAAGACAGAGAGAGAGAGAGAGAGAGAGAGAGAGAGAGAGCAGAAAGGAGGAAGGAAGGAAGAGAAAGAGAGACAGGAAGAAAGGAAAGAAAGTTGTATGAGGGAAGGCTGCAGTCACCATTACTAATCTCTTCCCCCCACTCCTGTACTCCTACCTCATTAGTTCCTTACGCTCTCAGACCTACTAAATATGGCGTAATGACTGACAGCAGTACACATTGTAGTTTGAATTTATTTCACATACTTGCTGTCTTCCCTCTTTCCCCTCCTCTTCTTCTGAGACAGGTTCTCACAACGTAACTGACCTCTAATTGAGGTCAGGCTCCCCAGTGCTGGTATCATGGATGTCAGGCTGGTGTTCCATCCCTGAGCTACACGCTTAGCCCGCATGTCACATCTTTTTTTGTTGTTGTTGGTTTTGTTTGTTTGTTTTTATTTTTTCCTTTTCGAGACAGCGTTTCTCTGTTTCTCTGTGTAACAGATTCCTGGAAATCACTTTGTAGACCAGACTGTCCTCAAACTCACAGATATCCACCTGCCTCTGCCTCCCCAGTGCTGGGATTAAAAGCATGTGCCACCATGCCCTGCTTCACACCTCACAACTTGATGAGGTCATGAGCCTCTACTGTTGTTCTTGCTGTGGATACAATTGATGCCAACGTTATGATGTTTCTATTCTTTTTAAATATATATATATTAATTTTTAATTAAATTTTTATTTTTTATATTTATTACAGTTTATTCACTTTGTATCCCAACTGTAATCCCCTCCCTTGTCCCCTCCCAATCACAACCTTCCTCCCTCATCTCCTCCCATGCCCCTCTCCAAGTCCACTGATAGGGGAAGTCTTCCTCCCCTTCCCTCTGACCCTAGCCTGTCAGGTCTCATCAGGAGTGGCTGCATTGTCTTTCTCTGTGGCTTAGTAAGGCTCCTCCCCCTCTCAGGGGGAGGTGATCAAAGAGCCAGGCACTGAGCTCATGTCAGAGACAGTCCCTGTTCCCAATACGAGGGACTCTTCAGCCCTGAGTTTGATTATTTCCAGCTGTCTACTCCTCTTGGGTATGTCTGCTTCTTTTTCTTCCAGGGCTTTCATGTGAGTCATTAAGTTGCATGTATGAGATGTTTCAAATTTCTTCTTGAAGGCATTTAGTTCTATGAATTTTCCTCTTAGCACTGCTTTCATTGTGTCCCATAATGGGTTTGTTGTGCCTTCATTTTCATTAAATTCAAGAAAGTCTTTAATTTATTTATTTATTTATTCCCTAACCCAGCTGTCGTTGAGTAGCAAGTTGTTCAGTTTCCATGTGTGTGTAGGCTTTTTGATATTTCTGTTTTTGTTGAGGTCCAGCTTTATTCCATGGTAATCAGATAGGATACAAGGGATTATTTCAATCTTCTTGTATCTATTGAGACTTGCTTTGTGCCCAACTGTCTGGTCTATTTTGGAGACAGTTCCATGAGGTGCTGAAAAGAAGATATATTCTTTTGAATTTGAATGAAAGGTTCTATAGACATCTATTAGGTCTTGATTTAGGACCTCTGTAAGTGCCTTTATTTCCCTATTAAGCTTCTGTCTAGATGATCTGTACCTTGATGAGAGAGTGGAGTGTTGAAGTCTCCCACTATTAAGGTGTTGGGATCAATGTGTGATTTCAGCTTTAATTGTGATTCATTTACAAATGTAGGTGTCTTGTATTTGGGGCATAGATGTTCAGAATTGTGATGTCCTCCTGGTGGATTTTTCCTTTGATGAGAATGAAGTGTCCTTCCTCATCTTTTTTTATTAATTTTGGTTGAAAGTCTATTTTATTAGCTATTAGGATAGCTACCCCAGCTTGTTTTCTGGTTCCATTTGCTTGAAAGACATTTTTCCAGGCCTTTATTCTGAGGTAGTGTTTATCTTTGTTGCAGAGGTATGTTTCTTGGATGCAGCAGAATGTTGGATCCTGTTTCTGCAACCATTCTGTTAGTCTATGTCTTTTTACTGGAGAGTTGAGTCCATTGATGTTGATAGATAATAGTGACCAATGAATGTTAGTTTCTTTTATTGTGGAGTTGGTGGTGTTACTGTGTTTCATTGCTTGTTTTCTTTTAATTTTTTGTTGTGAAGTTATCTATATTCCATGTTTCTTTCTTTTTTTTTTTTTTCCATGTTTCTTGGGTGTAGGTGTTTTCATTGGATTGGAGTTTTCCTCCTAGTATCTTCTGTAGGGCTGGTTTGCTGAGTAGATATTGCTTAAATTTAGTTTTATCATGGAATATTTTTTTCTCCATTTTCTATGTTGATTGAAAGCTTTGCTGGGTATAGTAGTCTGGGTTGGCATCTGTGGTCCCTTAAAGTCTGCATGACATCTGCCCAGGCCCTTCTGGCTTTCATAGTGTTTGTTGAAAACTATGATGTGATTCTGATAGCTCTACCTTTATATGTTACTTGGCCTTTTTCTCTTGCTGCTTTTAGTATTTTTAGTTTGTTCTGTAGATTTAGTGTTTTGACTATGATGTGATATGAGGAGTTTCTTTTCTGGAATATTCTATTTGTTGTTCTGTAAGCCTCTTTTATATTTATGGACATCACTTTCTTTAAGTTGGGAAATTTTTTTCTATGATTTTCTTGAAAATATTTACTGGACCTTGGAGCTTGAAATGTTTTTTATCTATTCCTATTATTCTTAGATGTTGTCTTTTCATGGCTTCCTTGATTTCTTGGATGTTTTGTGTTTGGAACTTTTCCGATCTTACTTTTTCTTTGAAAGAAATATCAATTTCTGCAATACACTTCTGCAAGTGTATCTTCAGCACCTGAGATTCTGTCTTCCATCTCTTGTATTCTATCAGTGATGCTTACCTTTGTGGTTCCTGATCTTTTCTCTAAGTTCTCCAGCTCCAGGGTTCTCTGTTTGTGTCTTCTTTATTGATTCTAATTATGTTTTCGTTTGCACCATTTCCTTCATCTGTTGGAATGTGGATTCCTGTCTTTCTTTGATGGCTTTTATTTTTTTGTTCATTTCCTCTCTATTTGCCACTAATTTTACCTCTACTTGTGCCTCTATTTGTTTGGCTGTATTTGGCTGTATTTCTTTAAGAGTTTTGTTCATTTCCTCTTTTATTTGTCTCTATTTGTGTGGCTATTTCTTTGACAGATTTGTTCATTTCCTCTTTATGTGCCTCTAATAACTGAATAAGCACAGCTTTGAGATCATTTTCCCATGTTCCTGATGAATCGAACTATCCATTGATTTTGGGGGTTGCTGGTGAAGTCATAATGTCCTGATTTTTGTTGGGTGTGTTCTTATGCCAACCTTTGGCCATTTGCTTATCTTTAACCTTCACTGTTTGTTCCTGTAGTCTGTACTTCAGACTGGGTCTTTTGTTCTCTGGTGTCTAGAGTATTCTTCAGGAAGATGAGAGAGGTCCAGTGGTTTGAGAGCGCATTGGTGTTTCAGCTGTACCTAAGGGAGGTAGATGCGCAGGTGTAGATGCACAATTGTGGGGGAGCAAGCGTGCGTGTGTGTGTGTGTGTGTGTGTGTGTTAAGTGTGCCTTGAAGGACAGGGTGCCAGAGAATGTAGATGCCTGGAATGTGGGGCAGGGGGTGTGCAGGCACAGGAGAGGTTGTGGACGCTGGTGCTGTTCACCGGCGCAATGTGCATGCACAAATTCCCTGAATGTCGCAGTGGCCTACAGGCCTGTCATACCGTCCTTCTGGTATTCAGGTCTTTCTGGGTTCCAGGAGTTGCTTGCCTGGACTCTACTGATAAACCCGCAGAACAGGGGCTTCAATGTTGAGAACACTGTCTCAAGAATCCCTATGTTGCCCACAGTGTGGGTGTGGGTGTGAGGGATGTGATATCTGGCTTCTAGCATAGAGGGACCCTGGATCTGGGGCTCTGCACGCACTCACTTGAAGGCACGCTCACTCTCTGGCAGGTCTAATTGGAAAGGGAAGAGGTTTCCCCTGTTCTCTATTCTCAGATTTGGGCCTGCTAGGGCAAATTCGAGTGTAGCAGATCTGTCAGCTCAGTGGTGCTGCAGCCACAGAACTTGGAGGCTTGTATAGAGGCCTACTGGGAGTCCAGCCACAGCAGCAGAACTGGGAAGCCAGTACAGATTCCTTTTGGGAGGCCCTGGGGAGCCGCAGACCTGGTTGGCCTGGCAGACCTGACTGGCCCAGAGGATCTGGGTGGTTTGGTGGACCTGGGCGGCTTGGTGGATCTGAGTGGCCCATAAAACGGGCAGCCCACCACTGAGGGACTCGGAGGGCCGCCTTCTCTGAGATACGGAGCATGGAGTTATGTGCTAGGAGCCACAGGCACTGTGGGTACTTCCCTGAGGAGGGAGGCCTTTCAAAGGGAAGTACAGAGGGATTGAATGTACACCACTCTCAGATCCCAGAGAAGTCCATGGGTGACCTGGGTCCAAATGGTCTCAGCTCACTGGTTGTCCCTCTCACCAGGAAACCTCAATGTCGATGTTCTGGCTTTAGCTGCCATTCCAGCCACCAATTTTGGAGTTTCAGATCCTCTTCCCCTCAGATACAGTGTTCTCTGGTCACCACCATCTTGGATCTCCCAGATTTATTTTCTTACAATGACTGACCTACAGTTTAGGTGCACTATTTATACCAAAAGTATAAAGAATAATTCAAACAAACAAACAAACAAACAAACAATAACCGGCTTTAGAGGATGTTACTCAGGGTTACAGTGCAATGAGGAGAGGCGGGATTAGAACCTAGGTCCTGTGAACACACAGCCTTAGTGGGTACCATTGGAGATATTTCTTCCTTAACACTGTGGTGAAGTACAAGCCTTGTGGTTAAATGACCGACTGCTAAAGTCCCATGCCTCAGCTAGAGACTCCTACATGTAAATTTCAAACTCCCCGACAAGCTGGAGAAGAACTTTCATATTTGTCAGTGACAGAAAGAACAGGGCTGTGGATACCTGGTAGAGCTGCGGCAAGTAGCTCGGTGGGGGAGGACCTGCTGCCATCCCTGAGGCCCTGGCTTCCATCTCTGACACCACAGATAGGAAGGTATCTGGACCTTCATCGACCTAGGCAGATCTGTCTGCAAGACCTGGGATTTGAAGACCTTAAAGAATGAGGCAGACTACAGTCTAGGGCAGCAGACAATTTTACTTCAGTTTCAGTGTACTTTTCTTCATGAATGTAAAAAACAAACAGCAACAATTCAAGGAAGGCATCTGAGCTCAGAGAAATGTGAATACATGCCAGTACGCACACACTAAACGTTCACAGAGCATCCTTTTCCCGGAACTTTCTGAAGACAGAACAACGTAAACAAAATTGCCTGGCATGCACTATAGATTATACTGGGCAGAGCAGGAAAATAAGGCAGAAGGCCATTTCTTGAATCAGGGTACAATGAGGCCACCACTCAGCGTATCCTTTCACCGGCATGGATTCTGTGGCTGTGTGGGAAATGAATTTCTATCTCCTCATGAACAGACAAGGAACTGGAACACGCAAATGCATGCAAACGGGTTTGTATTTAGAAGTGAAATTCGCAGAAGGACTGAAGGCAGAAAAGTTGCAATGAGGCCAGGAGGCTCAGGCACACGAGATGCAGCCGGAACGGGGCACCGCACAGATGTAGGGAGGGCTACGAGGGTGGCTCGCATATGGCCACTGGCTTTGAGCATCCCACAGAATTAAAATATGGATAAAGTGTGTGAGGGAAGGAATGGTCATAGAATCTGTAGATGAGAGCTCCACAGTTAGAAGCGTCATAGAACGAGAGCGTGGAAGCCTCAAAGTCCAGGAACACTCCAACACGACTTAGAGGGCCTCGCTGAGAGAGGGCCAAGACACTGGGATTTTTGGTCTCATAACACTGGTCAAAGGCATATAAAGAACTATCCTTTATCCCTATGACCCAGTAGCCATATTTAGGCTGATAACTGACACATTGTTTATATTTGGATGTGAGGAGCACTGGCTTCCCTGGATAAAACTGAGGTTGAGCACGTTGTCCATTATTTAATCCAAGGAGCCAGGCTTGACATCCAGACACGTCTACTTCCCAGTAATGTTTCCCTGACTGGAGAGCTGGACATCCCAGGACACCCAAGCAATAACTCTCAGAAAATTGCAAAGCACTTGTATAATCATTGTAATCACCGTAACCATCGTAATCATTGTAGTATTTTTGTCTTTCCTTTTCATACAGGACATTTGCACTGTTGTTTGGAGACAGAGTCACACGAACTGCAGAAAAATAGACACATAAGTTAAGAGTCACATGAAAGACAAGGGATGACTTTATTTGTGATGGGAGGAGCAGAAGCCTAAGGAGAAAGAGAGAGGAAACTTGGGGGAGCCTTGTTTAAAGTCAAGGAGAGGCAGAGAAGCAACATGAAACACGAGGCTTAACAGAGAAACAAGCTCTGAAAGACAGTGAGAAGAGAGTGGTTTATGGTAATGTGGTTTCTCCTTACCCCAGTATTGCTGGACATCCATAATCCCTGAAATGATGAAAATTTATAACAGTAAATGCAAGCAAAGGAAAAAAAAAAGTCCATCTCTTCTCCAGATTAGGGGAAGGTTTGGAAATTGTGACATAGGACGTGATGAATGATGATTTCCCACTAAATACAACGACATCACTGGGGCACACTATCTGCTCTTGTGAGTCCCTCTCTCCACATTCAGAAAGATTCTCTCTTCCTTACCCAGCCTCAGCCACACCTAGAATCCCACTGTTAAATCACAGAATTTAGCTTCCCTCACCTTGAAATGCTTCCAGCATGCCTTTCAGATCTGGTACATGGAATATTCTTCTTTTTTTCTGGATCATTTCAGGCTGTTGCAGTTTCAAAGCTTTACTCCTAGGGATAAAAAATTGCTCTCCACATCTCAAACCATTTGACCTTTGACCACCACTGTCTCCCTATCATTGTAGCCAGAGATGTTCCTGAAGTTTACTGAGAATTCTGAGAGGGAAGAGAGAAGGTACACTACTAACTCTGGAGATACGAGAGACATGGCAGGACCTCATCCACAAACTTGCTGTGCCATGTTAGGAAGGCCTTGATCCTCAGAAGCATAGTACTTCACCTTTATAGACCTTTCTTCAACTTTCCGTTCTTTTCTCCAAGTCTTATGAAATGATGAATTTAAAAAAAAAAAAATCAAACTAAATAGTAAAAAAGAATGTGTGGGCCAGGAACGGTGTCACATGCACTTAGGAGGGAGAGGCAGAGGATTTCTGAGTTCAAGTCTAGCCTGGTCTACAGAGTAAGTTTCAGGAGAGCCAGGGCTACACAGAGAATCCACACACACACACACACACACACACACACACACACACACACACACACA